AGAAAGCAAGCAACTAAATGAAGATGATCCTAAAAATAGGACCGGTTACGCCACTAAAAAATTATTTTTTTTATTACAATACCTCTAGTTTTCATTCGATAAAAACATGACACATGTAAAGTTTTGTTTTATTATTTTTTATAATTTCATTAATTTTTTAGTCAATGGTTAGAAATTATCCAAGTCAATTTGCATTTGTAACCTATTTTGGTACCATTCGACATGGCGTTGCTATATCCATAAAATTATTGCAATTGTCACAATTATGAACCCGCTGCCGCCTTGAGTGTAAATCTTTCCAGCTAACAATGATAATAATAATAAGATGAGAAAAAAAAAAAGAACATGATATGATTGATATTTTATATGGAATGGACACCAAAGTCCCCTTCTCACGTAATAGATTATTTTGACATTGATTGTTATGGTCATTCACATAGAAGTATAGCTTCTTCATGTCTTGTAATAACTTTATATTATTAATCACAAACTTTAAGATTGTGTAGTCATAAAAGCTTTAAGATTGTGTTGTACTTTGATTGAAAAAATATTGTTGTCATGTGAAAAATGAATGGGCAACAATGCTTACATTATTTAAGATGTGAGAACGATTACGATATTGAATGAAGTATTGCACAAAAAATTACGATATTTTAAAGTCAAGTTATAATCTTTTGGGAGTTTAAGTTATAACTCAAAAAATCATGATTGATCATAAATATTGTGATCGATTATGAAAAATATATTTTTTAAAGATTAAGTTACACTCTTTGATGGTAAAGTTAAAATTGATTGAGGTTATTCACGATCGATCATGATCATGAACATTTGTAACTTGTCTTTTACAATGTGTAAATTTTTAACGGTGATACTTTTCAGGATGGTACCAAATTTTTTTTTTTCAGTACAGTAGTCTTTTGCTTAATATGCAAAGCATATTACTTTCAAAATCTATTGGGCAAATCTAAGTATAATCTTATAAATTTGAGTGGACCCGAACTAATATACATGGTGGGAGATTTTAAAATTAAAAAAATTAAAGGACTCTAATACCAATGAGATCATAATCTCATTTTGTGAAGAGCAATGTTACATGGACTTAAAAAATAGACTTAAAAACTAGATTTGATAATCTCAACTATTGATTTTACTGTGGGTTCCAGTATTTATTGGAACCCACTACCTATTCAATGGTTGAGATTATCAAGTCTAATTTTTAAGTCCTATCTACCATTACTCTTTTGTGAAGCCTTATCATGAAGACTTGCTAGATGCTAGATGGGGACAAGCCAAGAGGGCTTCACCTGTAATTAGGAAACAGTTTGACTGGGAGGTTAAGAAGACTCTATCTCACAGGACCATAGGTCAAAGTAAGAAGAATCCTAGGATNGAGGGCTTCACCTGTAATTAGGAAACAGTTTGACTGGGAGGTTAAGAAGACTCTATCTCACAGGACCATAGGTCAAAGTAAGAAGAATCCTAGGATTAGGTGGCTCTAAGTCAGATACTAGTTAGGAAAGAGATGATACTCTTTGGCAGTTTGAGAAATGAATTGAGGAATATTGGGTCAACCTCTCAACGAGGACAACAACTTCTTCTTATGGGGGTGTTTTGTGAGCCTCTTAGGTCATTGGCATGGCTAAGGCATGCGGGTGGCTTGCCCAATGGCGCTCCATGTCGCAGCCAAGGTGCGGGTGTACTTGGATAAGTACTTCCGTTGTGCAAGAAGGCTTCCAAAAAGCTTGGATGCGTGTTGGACTTGGTGGCAAAGTGCTAACTTTGTGTGCGACAGTGTAATTTTCTTAAATAAGGCATTATGACTATCTAAGCATGCTGATGTCTGTTGCTCCGCGAAGGGGTGTCTGGTCGGCAACCCTTATGCCCCTAGCCTTGGCATGCCAAAGCAAGGCACAACCCTAATAATGCTTCCCTTAAGTGTGGGCAAGGCATGCAAAAGTTGAGACTCGAGAAATGCGAGATCCAAGCATTGGTGGGACTTGGCGATCTTGAAAGTCTCATGCATGGTTAAGGAAGGCAGCATATCATGGGTACATTAGGCACAAGCAAGTAGGGCAAGGCAAGTCGTGTGGGATAAATTGAGGAGCATTGCATGCTTAAAAGACCAAGTCATGAATTGGGCATGANGGCACAAGCAAGTAGGGCAAGGCAAGTCGTGTGGGATAAATTGAGGAGCATTGCATGCTTAAAAGACCAAGTCATGAATTGGGCATGACTTGCCACGCTGGCAAGGAAAAATCATATGATGTGGGCTGACAAGGATGGTTATTGCTGATTGTGTGGGTGGTTTAGAGTAGTTGTTGGCTGACTCATGCGGCAGTTACTCAAGCACAACTGTTCTAGTAAAGAAGGGGTGAATCTGATTGGTACAGGCAGCCTGGTGGTTTGTTTGGAGGAAAATCTGATTGGTGCTAGCATGTCCTAGCAGCCAGGGGATGTCAATTGCATGGTTGATTTGGCCAAAGCTAGTTGGTGCCAACATTGCCTAGGCAGTTGGCTTGTAACTACCATTGTAGGTTTAGATATAGATGTCAGGTTCTACAGTCACCCAAGAGGGATTGAGGACATTTTGTAAGCCGAACCTTAGCTAGACTCCTTGTACTTTGTTGGAGAAAGTAAAAAGGTTGGGTTGTGTTCGCCTATAACTCGCGTGTTTATCTACTGTTTAATATATTATTTCTGTAAGTCTGTTGAGTGCATTTGTAAGTCTGTTCAGTGTCATCACAAGGTAAAAATTTGAGTGTAATTTGCACCAACCAAAACACCAACTATGATCCTACAAACAATAAGACCTACCAAAATAAATTGCCTCAGCCCCCAAAAGATCAAAAAACTTGTTGCATTTAGTTTGTTCAAGTTTGGGGGAGTCTAAGCCAAGAGGGCACTCCGTTATGTCAGTTTATATATTTCTAACTACTAGAAGAGATTTGTGATTGTGTGTGTTTCTTCGAGCGTCTATCTCAAGGGCGGCTCAAGNTCTAACTACTAGAAGAGATTTGTGATTGTGTGTGTTTCTTCGAGCGTCTATCTCAGGGGCGGCTCAAGGTAAATTGAGACTTAAAGAGGTAATATTAAATGAGGTATTTTTATTTTTAGTATTACTTTTTTTAAAAAAAAAAATTTAATTTTTTTTAAGTGAGAGGAGGATGTGATACTTTGTTTTTGTTTTTTAAGAGAGAGAGAGAGATTTTATTTATTTATTTTTTAATATTAAAATTTTTGAGTTTTTAATATTATAGATTGAATTGTAGGTCCAAATTATTGAGATTATATTTTTTGATTGGACTTAAATTTTTTGTGGCCATTTTATAAGACCTAAAATTTTCATGGATTTAAATTTTTTATGTGAACCAATTATGTATTTACAATTATGGGGCATTCTAAAAATTTGGGGCCTAACGCCCATGCCTTTTTTTTTAATACTATTGGGCCGGTTCTGGTCTATCTCCCTTTTTTAGGTGACTTTTTGGCTTCAGCGTTGAATGGTTTGGTAATTTTCATAGATTGTGACATTTGGTATGATAAAAAAGTGAAATACTTCCTTTCAACACATTAAAATATATTCCTTTAAAATTGGGCAAAAAAGTGAAAGAAAAATTAATTACGCTGGTTATTTACTTTTATATCTCTTAATATATACATATATATCATGTTGACCTATTACATGTCAATTTAATATAGATGCAATAGTAAAATATGTATGCATACTTTTTCTTCCACTTTTTCACCCATATTAAGCACAAAATGAATCATTCTTATTTTTCATCCCTTCTACCAATACAAAGGAAGAAAGGAATGCTTCCTTACTTGGAGAATAGAAAGCAACCCCTACTTCTCTTCCTTCCATCTTTCTATCCACCAAACACATCAACATTAGTTTCAACCTGGGAATTTGACTATAGCTAGACCACCTCATTTCTCTGTGGGGGCAGAAATCACAAGGGCTTCAGTTTTGTTGTTTGTTCAGAAATGAGCCTGACACCTCAGACATCCAAATGGAATAAATACCTACGAAGAGGTTAGACCTAGAATGATTGACGAGTATTCATCTAATGAAACTATATGCCACATGTGTGAGTAGAAGAATCGGACTATAAACAGAAGCTAAGTGTGCACTAATTACGACTTTCTATAAACTTCTACGTAATTAATTTAAATCAAAGAAATTCTCTTTATTTTTCATGCTTTACTATTAGATTAGAAGTAAATGATAAATTCGTTGATTCGAGATTCCGCATGTTAACAAGAGGTATGGAAGATTTGATATGTACGCTGTCCATTGTGGTTATCTGTTTCTTGATAGCAGCTTTCCTATTGGAAAGACAACAATTTGGATAGCTTTGAAAATTGGTAGTCCTATCAATATTTCCGGCTTTGTTTTGCTATCTCTTCTCTAGAATACACAAACTATGTGTGTGTGTATCGGGAACGTATTGGAAGCATTGGTTTGGTCCAGCCAAGCATCGTGTTCATTCGAGAGGGTCCTTATACAGACTGATGAGGTCATGGCAGGGGAAACAAACTATCATTAAGCAAGTATATCAACTTGTTGCTGGCCTCGGTGGGTGTAACAAGAGAGAACCAAGTGTTGAATAGACTGTAAAATGTGATGATAATTTCCTTACCATATCCATTAATTCTATGTTATGCCGTTACACAAGATGGTGTTCATCAGTTAACAAATTTTAGATAACCAAATACATACACTATATTATAACCTTACACCCTTACCAGTAGATTGACCTTCCGTTGCATCTAGCTTCCCTTCAAAGTTGGACATTTGATTTTTTTTTTTCCACCAATCCAATATTCCAATCAAAGTGCGTCCGACCAGAAACTCATCATGAATTAGTGTCTGCATGACGAAATATATTTTGGTCTCCCAAAATGTATAGTACCCTTTATATCACCATATCTACCGACTCAGAACCCCCTGCTCGAGGATGGATGGATAACCATTGGTTCGTATGAGGTCAGCCTTCTCAAAATTTAGGGGAAGCAGTCTTGATGGGGGCCCAAATATCTGCACCATTGCTGCTAGCAACTCCAACAGTACAAGTAATTGGCACCAGACATAAGCCTTTATTTCTCAGACTATACGCCTCCAATTCCTTGAAAAAGAAAATATCAAAACTCATCTGCATTTCAGCACTAGACTAAAAACTACATCACATGAGACACTACTACATTATGCAAAAAACCTAATATTTTAGGATAATAATTCCATCCGGCGATGGCTTCACTTTAGAGGATAATTGGTAGCTTCAAGTGCAATGTAAAATGCTTTTGAATTAACGATTTTCCATTGGGTGTATAGAATTCACTACTGTCTCGAGGCATATGATATCACCCTCCATATAGCGAAGAAAGAAGACCCCAAAGTATACCTCTTTTATGGGTTAATAAAAACCATGGCATCTAAACTCAGCTGTTTGAACAGTTCATGCTCACCTGTGTCTTAGCTGTTGGTGTACCATGGAGGTATGGAGCACTCAAAACCTGAAACCCACAGAACCAAGATCATGGGTTCAAAGTTCAAATTGTTGCCAAAACATTCAAATACAACAGCACATCTCTGAGGGAAATATAATTAAGCAGTTCACCATAGTCGTCCAGACAGTTGCAGCAAAAATTACAATGAGGTGACAACGGCAGTATAAAATCCCAAGATTTCACCAAAATTCCCAATTGAACGTAAAAGGAGAGTCGAGCTCCAAGAGCTCAGTGCAGGTGAACAATTCAATAAGATAACTTGTGATACTCCCACAATGTTTTAGAGAATATACTATCACAGAAAATATCTAAATATATCATCTTACGACATAATACTTCTAGAAATGATATGTCATCTATAGTTCCCTATTTTCCATAAAGATGATAGAAATTGAACCCCTAACCCCAATCCACCACTTTCTTTTGATGCCATGCCAGCAAGTTCACCCCCTAGAAGATATCACGCTGGTAAGATAACAGAAATAGGTCACACAGACACATAACACATTATTCTTTTTTTTGAAATATCACTAACAGAGATATACTAGGATTTGCCAAGAAAAAACATTCTGCTAACAGTTGGAGCTAATGGTGGTTGTTCCACATTCTAGACAATATCCACTAACAGGGATCCCTCATAGATGATCTCATATGCTTAAAACTATATCATATGAAACATGATAATTATTCTAGTATGCTTCCAATAAAGAAATGTATAGTGCTGGTTAACAAACTCATCAGGGATGATCATTGCTAAGCCTCTAGACCAGCTTAAAATTGGTGATTTCATAGGGCATCAAAAACCCCAAAAATATTGGGACAAGGCTTTCAAGTAAAACTTAAAAGCTAGATTACAGGTAAGCTATTGGTTTCTTCATCAAATTACTTGTAATAAAAACAGCTAGGTGATTTAAGGGAAATAAAGAAGGAAAAGGCCAAACCTTAACTTGTTCATGGAGGAATATTATGTATTCCATCACTTCGTGAAGGACAGAAGCTGTATCAGTCTGCAATTGATTAAAACACTTCAGAATCAAATTGCAAAAATTGAAGCACAGAAAACAGTTGTGGATTAGTGATTAGACAAATTGTACGAGTATGATGAGTTCGGAAAGTAAGGGCAGTTCAGCATAAGTTCTATGGGCTTAGGCTATAAATAGGTCCTTGGTTCAACTACAGAATTGAATTTAATTTTACATGCTTACCTTCCCATATGGTGAAACAAGCTGTTGAAGAGCTGCAATCCGTTCACCAACCTTATCTTTCCTTTCCTATTGCAGAAATGTTAATTAAAGAGGCTCATCAGGAAAGCACACACCATATGGTATAAGCATGGGCTATCCAAATGAGTAGAAAAAAGGGCAGCCCAGATTATACATTGTTGTCCTAAAGTGTTGTTTCGTCTCTAACCAGCTCTCAGAGAATACATTTAAGAGTAAATATGTAAAATAAAGAGTAAACGATTGTGCTAGTAGTAATTTGACCACCAAGATAGGAACTAATAACTGCATAGGGTGTAACCAGCTTTGAGGTAGATCCTTCCAAATTGCCAACAGAAAAATTTAGAAATCTCTGATGACCTGGTTCACATATTATCTCAAATTAATTTATTTTATTTGTTTACATATCCTTTGAATTACATACTTCACAGTTCCTGGCAATTAATTAATGTACATGATATTGAGTAGGGGTTATCCCCAAAGTTAAAAATTTAGATTTTAACTATAGTAGCTGTTCCCACCTTAAAAAAGAAAAGAAAATTAGAACTTAGTATAAATTGCACCATCCTAAGGATCCTCACTAGAATACTATCCAGTGGGAATTTACTGGATTCTTCATTGTGAAACTTCAATTGTGATGGCAAGAGTCATTTGTTATCTCACGATGCATAGATGTTTAAATTTACTAGCTGTTTGGAAGTCATTCAGTGTCCCAGATATATACCTTTTGAACATCAATTATATACATCAGAAGAGAAACAGACCCACATAATTTTTTTAGAAGAGGGAAAGGGGCTGAGGGAAAAAGAGATGAAGAGACCTTTGATGAGATAGATAGATCAGCCTTATGTCGTTTTGGTGTCAATGAAGTGAGTCTGCCTTGCTCAACAGAGATTGGGCCTCTTTTGTGTTCCATCATCTTTGGCTCTTCTATCCCTTATTCTCACTGGAAAATTGGGAAGGAATCATGAGGAATAGTAAAAAGCAACAAAATGCAACCTGACATAAAAGTGCAAACAGTAAACCATATAGGTTGTCTGGTCATACTGATTATGAGATTGATTACAAGCTGATGTATTGGATTATATTTTACTCATACGTGAAAATGATATACATATCTTGACATTCCAAATATATTTTCACAAGGATCACGGTGTTAATACCTACAACACTCGCTACAAAATGATCCAGTCTATGTTGGAATGACCATCCCAAAAATGTTCAGCCCAATAAATGTCCTTTGGCATTCCAATAATTTTTGGATAGTTAAGTAGCAGAGAATAACCTTTTTGGAGGTAACCAGGAAACAGAATCACAAGAACATAAATGTGATATGACCACCTGATCACGACACCAATTATTGGCTCTTCAATCTTTTTTAGGTTCCTACTTTCCACAAACTTCAACATAACCCTTGAGGACATGCACAACAATAAACTAATGGATCGACAAGTTTTTTTTTCTTCGGAAGGTAATGGATCGACAAGTTAATAAAATAGATTTTGTTAAGGAAACATTTAAGGTAGAATGCAACCATTCTAGACAAGTATTTGTTTATATGGCATTCTGAAGACAAATTATAATAATAAACTAAACAATAAGTCGTACAACCACAACACCTAAACTGATATTTGATTAATAATAACAAAGGCAAAGTAAGAAACATGCATTATTTTTGTCAAAGAACCCTCAAGTAGGTTAATGACAAAGCATAAAAAATTATAGGTACATATGACTACTTATATCAAAATTTAATAATTGCAGGCTCACAAACTGACAATATTTTTCTTACTTAATTTATTATGAAACCATCACCTAATTACTAAATAAACAATAAAATAGATATGGTGGGCATTATTCTTGTCATTGCATCAATAATACACCAAAATTCAGTTTCTGAACCATCAATGCCCCCAATCTATACCATTTGGTAGACTCTCTATAATGGGCCACAGACCTGAATTGAATTGAACAATTAAATATCATTGGTTCACCCATCAAATGATTTCTCCTTTTATTCCAAGCTCATGAAGCATTTGCTCAACTTTTTGGACCAAGAGGTAACTATAAAATTGGCCTTTTATTTTTCATAGTTTTAATTTAAAGTTAATTATTCTAGCTTTTTAAGATGCAAAAGTACTAATTACGTTATTATATTTATGTTTTGTTGCCGCATCTTTTTCAATTGATGGTATTACTAATCCATTTACCTTTTTTTGTGACATAATTGATCTTAATATCACTAATCCAGTTACTATCTTTTGTGACATAGTTGATCTTATGTAACATTTTATCAATTTTAATTTTGGAAAACTTTTTTATGCGAAAGCAACTGTCACAAGAATTGCAAATAATATTCTGTAAACAATGCATTCATTTGGAAAAAGGATTAGAAACGTTTTAAATATTCTAGAATTTTAATTGGAGTATTTTCTTCGATTTGCAAAATTTTCTTTAAAATGTTTAATTCTAAAAATAAATCTAAACCATCAATATCACCAAAACTATCATGTTTTAAGAAACATTTGAGATCTGGACAATATTTTAAAAAAACAATTATTATCACCATCAACTACTTCGCTTAATGCAAATGTATTTTGTGAGGAACCATAATGGGTACATATGACTACCCATCACCTAGTTACTAAATAAAGAATAGAATGGATAGAGTGGGCATTATTCTTGTTATTGCATCAATAATACAACAAATGTAGTTTTTGAGCCATCAATGCCCGAAGCTATACCATTTGGAAGACTCTACAAAATGGGCAACGGCCCTCAACTTGAATCGATCAATAAAATATAGTTTGCCAACCACCAAATGATTTCTCTTTCTATTCCCAAACCCATGAAGCATTTGCTCAACCTTTCAGAATACTGACCACAATGTGATTAATTGCCAAGAAAAATGCCAGTTAATCTACGGATCAATTTGGGTTGAATTTAGGCATATGACATATGGATTTTATTTGGATCGTCCCCAAACTTTCTTCCAGTGTGAATATGACTGAGAACAGCTGAAATGAAAGAAATGAATTTGGGTGGGCCCAGATTGCAAATTTTATATCATTCATTAACCATGAATGTACGGGTACCTATTTGCGTATACAATCTTTTCCGACTATTAAATTTATTATATTATATAATAAGGAACAACATCTCTATCCATCTATTAAAACAAAACTAAATATCTATGCTAGATAAACATTAAACGAACAAGTAACCAACAGCTCATGCCACAAGCATGTTCAAAGCATGTCATGAACGAGCCCCCAAAAGTAAGACCATCAAATAGCACCTCAAAGTAGCTTAATTAAACACGTCAATGCAACAAACCCTTAAATTCATGGCCAAATCAAACTGAGAGAAACTAAAAATTCAAAACCTAAAAAAAAGAGCAAAACTTTTGGAGAAGAGAGCACGAAAGACCTGACCTTGGAGTGATCCTCTGCATTACAGTGATGCAACCTTTTATTTGAAATCCTGAGAACCCACTACAAGACTGACCGAAATTTCGAAGCTTTGATTGAAATCTTCCAAACCCACTTTCAAATTTCCAAGAAACTGTTATTAAAAGAGGATAATCTCTCTCTCTCTCTCTCTCTCAAAACATACATACTGTATTTCTCTCTAGGAAACTCTGCTCCTATTTCTCTGCTTTTTGGTTTAAGGGCTTCGGAACTTGTGTTAGCAGCAGTAAAACAAGCTGACAGTGATGAACAAACAACACGCCTCTCTCTCTCTCTCACTCACAGACCCACAAATATAGTTTGTTGTAGTCAGCGCTTTATCTGGGTTTTAGTGGAAATTTCAACAGTTATTGCCGAAACTCTCCCGGAGTAATAAGCTAATTCCGGGAAGGTGGCCGGAGATGTTGAAATGGAGAGAGTGAGACCATGAAGAGAGGCGGAGAGAGTTAAGGTATGGGAGGGGGAAGTGTTTTTCGAAATGTTTCATATATTTATAATCATAAATTGACATATATTTGAATAGGAAAAAATAGAAAATACTTTTTGACAGCTAATATACAACCATACAATGAGGGAGAAAGTTTACAGAGGGGAGTAATGAGAGTTGTTAACTTAATTCTATATGAGGTCAATTTTTCCTAACCACGGTGGACAGTGACCGGTGATGTGAACCTGCCTCTCTGTTTCCCTCCATTTTGGCTTAGCTCAGCGGTTTTGGCTATTTGAGTGGCGCTTATAAGAGAGAGGTTTTATAATTCTATCTACCAAAAAATACAGTGCCAAAAATTCAGCAAAGTTAATTTACAAATTAATGGCTGGTTGAATCAATAGGTTTCCTTTAAGAAGTAAATGGGATGTATATACTTGTTTGTTTAATCATCCTAATCATCCACATGAAGAAAACAGATCAAATTTCATAAATTTTTTTCATAAATATAGTAGTTGTGCCAAAAATAAGTGAATTACTGCTCCTTACCAAGTGATAAACCTCAAAGTTACATATTATCAATAAATTCGGTCATTAGAAAGAAAAACATAATATAAGAAGAAACTCTTAAGAAATGGTGAGATCGAACTTTCTTGAAAATAGGAAAATTTGAACCATTACATTTATATGTCACTAGTAATGCACGATGTGCGTTGCACGTAAATAAATTTAAATAATAATTTTTATAAAAAAAATAAATTATATGTGTAATTAAATTAAATAATAATTTTAATTATTATTAGTTTATTTTATAAGTCTTTGAGTACTTAATTTGTCATTTATTTTAAGTATTTGTACAGTTAATTATATTATAGAATTATTAATTTTTATTTTGTTAAATAGATTGATTAAATCATTTATAAAATTATAAAATATATTTGACTTTGGAATTCAATATGATAACTACATGTGCATAAAAATTTTACATGTACTTGACTTTACTTATTCATATAGATATAGAAGATTATATATAACTGTACAACTAATAAATAAGTTCAAAAGAATTTAAAAGTTTTTATAAAGAGTTCAAAATAAGTTGAAAGTTAAATAAAAGCAAAAAAATAAAAATTAGACGAAAGTATATAGGTGGATATAATTAATAATTAGGGGTAAAATATGAAATCAAAATTTTTTACGTATGTTGACATTTATAAGTAGTATAGATATAGATTTTTTGTATGTAAAGTATTTTTGAATAGTAACTTGCATTTGTTAAATATTATTTCTATTTTCGAATATAAAAATTAGAAAAGAAGTTGTTTGGACAACATAGCTTTGTACTTATTTTTTCAAAAATTGGAGACAAAAAATCAGATTTTCAGATACTACTAATGACATATTTTGGTTAGTTTTGAGACACAATTTTGAAAAAACATGGGATGGAATCTACTGCATCTAAAGACATCCTTAAAAGGAATTTGTTTTTCTCCTCCATGTCTTTCACCCCGCTTCCAAGCAAGTTCGATTGATTCTTTCAAACCCCCAATCTCATCCGAAGCTTCAGCCCCTCAAGTAGCACAAACCAGCGAGAAAAGGTTCGATCGGCTCCTAACAAGCTCCTGAAGAATGTTCTTTCTATGTGTTTTGTGTTTTTTCACCGATTGATTTTGTAGATTTCCTTGAGGTTGGCTTTCTACATAGATTTGGTCTTATGCAAACCATAAATTCATAATCTATGTTGTTGGCTTTGTTTTTGTTGGAAAAATGGTTTTAAACTAGATTATTTGAGCAACTTGAAGTTTGAATAAAAGTAGAACTCACATCTCAAAATTACTGGGACCAAGTTTAAATACGGTCTTCTCCGTGAGGAGATGAATGTCGTATAGTTATTTGTCTAAAACTATTAAATATTAAATGAGAAATTATGTCTCAAAGTGACTCATTTGAACTGATGAAATAAACTAAGATAGGTGTAGTCGAATAAGACTTGTTTCACATTGGAAGAAGACCAACACTTTTGTG